TCACATATGACCAACAGTCCCCTTAAAGTGAATGGTTGTATAGGAAACAGTTTCAGCGTATGCCGAAAACATATTAGATGATGCAAGCCAGAAAAATAAAGTGTCTCCATCCTGCACTGCTGTATCTGGTGCTCCCGTCTTGTTGAGACCACCCAGTGGTCAGGTCCATGTAGTTTTTGGAAAAGCTTTAGAGAGCATGTGTAAATAGCTTTCAGTATCATGAATCTAATTTAAAACTCTTTCACAAGTGGCATTTTAAATCACCAGAATTTAGAAATCATTGAACCTACAGAATTTTACTATATGCTTGTATCTTCCAGTCTGTCAGGCAGTGGGGAAGATATCCACATGTTCATTGTCCAGTATTGTTTTGCACTGGGATGTGGTCTTCTGCAGCAAATGTATGAAAACAGAAACCACTGCTCATCTGGCCCATGCCTAATATATTCAGCTATGTGAAAGTGGCTGAAACAGTCTGTGGCTGCCTACAGGAAGCCAGAGCAGAAGTGAGAAATGCCATGCAGAGCAGAGACTATTTACATGTCTGAAAGAGCCATGTGCAGCAGAAGAAAGGCTGAGACCATCAGGTCTCCACAAAACACTGAGGAAGCTGGAAGCAGATTTGGTCCCTGACCTGTGTTCTCTGCCTCTCTAGCTTTCTGCCTGCCTTTGGTTGCATTCATGGTTCTGGTGAGGAAACCCAGATTATCTTCTCATCCTTTCTTATGGTACCTAGGAGCATCTTATGCTATTCATTCAGCCTGCATCACTGCGGGCGAAAGCGGGAAGTTTCTCCCTAGCTCATCCCCCTCAGACTAGCTGCCAAGGAACCTTAGATGTGCCTCTTTTGGCTATTTCATGATGCAGTAAGTATAATGTGAGGTTTGATTTCTTGATTTCCACGTCCTGGCATGGCATAGGCTGCAGGCTGCTTTGTTATTTATGCATATCACCACAGTGACTGGGAGCCCACAGCATGGACCAGGAACTTGTTCTATGCAATAGAGCCAATGAAATGAGAATCTCCTCACAGTATGTTTTCTCCCATTGTGCTCCTCCTGCATCAAGTGAAATTACGACAGGGATCTCAGAGTTTTCTCATTATCCACATTCGGTATCTTCTTGAAAATTCCCAGTTGCCACAGTACTAGGAAAACTTAAAGGATAAGCCGCTGGTATGCTGGCAATACCACCATTGTGCTAACCAGTACCATCTCATTATTTTCTTTTGTACCTCTGATGGTCTGTACCCATACATCATTTCTTAGTTCTATAACTTAGACTTCAAGCTGTCTTTGGCATGGAGTGTTTTGGTTGTGTGTTGTAAAGCGCATAATGCTTATCTGTGCATGTGTCTCTAGTTACAATAGCGTTAAAAATAACAAACTGTGTGGTGTGAAAAAAGGATTCCTTGACTATGTATTCGTTTATTGATACTTGTTAGGTACAAGGTGGAAAAAAAACAATTGATTACTCATGCATGGAATATAGCGTAGAATATAATCAAATCAATGTAATATGTGACCCTTCACAGCTTAAAAAAAAAAAAAGACAGCCAAGGAAATAGAAAGTAACAGTGAAGATTTACTTCTAGTTCATGAAGTCTTTGTTTCTTAAGTGTTTCTATTGACTTATTTGCGTTAAAGAAGTTCAAGTTATTGTTTCAAAATGATCTTAGTGATAACAGCTGGTGCCATGTGCATTAGGGAACAATTTATTTCTCAAGTAAGATCTGAAATTTGCCACTGTTGCTCATGCTGTTGTTGAAATCTTTGTAGCCAAATTTAGCATCATTTACCTCAACTGCCCCACAGCTTTTCTGATCCAGCCTGCCAGTGAGGAAAAGGAAATGCTTTCAGTTTAGAGCCTTTCAAACTCTGGACAAAAGCTCACACAGGTTTCCTATATATGGCTTTAGGCTCAAGATGAGGACCTGCTCACTATGCACCCTATCCCACCCCCCATTTCCTGCCTGGGTTCATTAAAAGCTGATTTGAAGTTGGCGCACACTCTTCTGATACAAAAGTAGTACTGTGTTCCAGGAACCATCAAAAGTAGTGCATTATTATCTTTTACATTCCCTTCATGTGTGTGTGCTCTCCCCATGCACAGAAAGGATTTTTAGCCCTTCTTAAATATCTCTGTGTACTTAATAAAAAGAAACAATGAAGCAAAGCCCTATCAAAAAACACCCTAAGCTCATTTGGGAGCAATCTGCCCCCAGGCTGTATTCTTTAATGCTAGTATCTGCATATTGGTAATATTAAGCAAAGTCAAGTATAGCGCTTAATGACTTCACCAAATCATTTTTCTATCTCTAATGTTTGTGTTTCAGTATCGTGTTTCTCAGGGAGAATAGTTTTCTTTCATTTGAGCAATGATTGCTGTTGTGATGAAATTAATGTGTACCTATATAGAAGCCTGTATATTTTCCATTTTTAATAGTACAGGTACTTCTTTCCTTCTATATGAAGTTGCCATCAAAGATGAGAAAAATCATTGAAATGCTGTCTTTCTTCTTCATCTAGAACCAAAATTCTCAGTTCTGTAGATAATTACAAATCATGCCAAAGATATTACAGGTAACCAATCCTTGGGTTACCTGTGATATCTTCTGTTGTAGTTTAAACTAATACTTTCTGTATCTTTCATACCTGTTTCCGACTTACAGTCATTTAAAGGGTAATACCAGTTCATTATTGCCAGCACTGAAAAAAGAATAAGCCAGGTAATAACAGTAAGACTAAATAAGCCATATTAGTGCAACATCTCATTATTCCAAATTATGCTGCAGTTACATAAACAAAGTCATTTTCAGGCTAGTCTTTCCTGAAATCCACTCAAGTGAATTGTTCAGATGGGTTCAGCTGAATCCTATTAAGATCGATGATATGGGCTTTAATGGCCTTCAGAAAAAAATAGCTGTGTCTTTTTGTTTTCTTTGCAGCAAAGCACTCTCAAATAGTATATTTTCCCTTTCTGCAAGTGGGAACTGGTGATTACTTGTTCCAAAGTGCTAAATGTAGTAGAAGTGCAAGGAGTTGTGGAACAAGGAGGCAGGGCTAAAAGTGACCACTTAGACCAATATCAGATCTATACTGGTTCTTAGCAGAATTTTAGATAAATGGCCCTACCTGCCAGCCTGGTGCCATGAGAACATGCAGTCCTGTTGAGCTTATCTGCTGTGCTCCTGGCCACTTGATCTTGGTTTTCTCTTGTCTCTGCCGTTCTTGCACCATAGTCGGATGATTCAGTCTGCTATACTTGCAGGCATCTAACCTAGCAAACCCCACCTCATTCAGCACCCCAACACTTCAGAGAGGCACTCTTTCCTTTCCTCAGAAAGGGGAGATATGGGATGTATCTTGTATGGGGTGGAATCAATCTGGTTTTGAATCCTGGACCCCAGTGGGTTGCTTGGTGTACAGAAATTCAGCCACGTGCATTAATTATGCTGCTGATTCACTGTCTTGGTTAATGTACACCGTTTCTTCCAAATATCCTTGTACCTGGTGAGACTTCTGGTGAAAGCATGTAGTGTAATCTTAGCCCATTGTTATATTTTATGTTTTCAATTTCATAGCAAATGGTATCTTAGACAGCAAACAAGTCATCTACTCTATTGCTAGAACCATTAGTCTTAACACTGTTAGTAAGTAATAACAAATTTCTTGTTAATATTTTTATTATTAAAGATATCTAGTGTTGTGCTAGCCTCTGTATCTTGGTCTGAAATGTACTCAAGGCACTTGGGAGGGAGCGCTTGCCAAGACCAATGCAGTACGTGACAAAGGCTATTGCACAACTGCAGGTGCTACAGGTTACAGCAGCACTTTAGCAGAGGTGCAGCCTCTTTGCTCTCGAGCAAGCATTTCTAACATTGTCATCCCTAAGGAAACAAGCGGTACATCAGGAAAAAGATGTGCAATATTACATTTTGGGCAGGGACTGGAATTAGAAGTGTTCAATTGAATTCCTGCCCCAAAGTGACAAAGAATAAAATGCTGAAAAGAATGAAGATTTAATTTATTTGTTTTTTTCTGCTAACTGGCTCCTTGTTTGGGGCTGGGCGTATGCCTGTATATAAGAGAGAGAACTAGTCCCAGTTTCCAATTCTCTCTGTTTTGAGATACTGCTTAGCCAAGCCTCAGTTTCAGAAAGGGAAACATAAACAACTTCTATTCTGCAATTATCTTTCACTAGCTCTTACCAGTCGGTTTGATACAGGGTTTACTTAGACGAGCAGATAAATGAGTGTATGAAACATTTGAGCATGCTAAAAATATCATAAAATAAAAAGCACAGCAGAGCTTCATCTCTGGCCTTCATATGAAAAGACCTTGTCCTTTTAGAAAACAAAGGTGGAACTTTCCCAAGGTGCATTAAATATAATCCTGGTTTTTCTGGGAATCAGTCCTACTTCTTCATTTTCAGAGTGTATATTTTTCTGTGTAAATGTACTTAGGACACTGTCATAAATCTAGTTATTCGGCGTGTTACTCAGAAAACATTGAAGTTCTGGGCCTAAAATTGCTGACCAAGAAATGTTCTGCCAGCAAGGCTTGTTGTAATTTATATTTCTAAGAGCAATCAAGAGGCAGCAATGGAGGCTTCTCTCTGTTTCTGTCACCAGACCATAATCCAATTAATTATAAGGTTCCAAGTTATAAGCTGTATTTCTATCCAAGTTTTCACCTACATGAGAGATAAAAATGATGTAGAATAAAAGTTGCATTCATCTCTAGTTAATACTTATGATATTAGCAATAATTAATGGGTAACTTCAAAGCTGAGATGAGATGAGAAAAATACTGGGATCTGAAGCTTTTTAGCTCTCTTCCTCTCTTTCCCAGCCTACAGTCTAATATGGAGTTGTATGAGGAGCAGCAGGGTGGCTGGGGAGAATGTGTGGTAAAATCAGATGAGAGAAAGTCAGTGGTGACTGACACAAAGCAGTAAGTTGATTTGTAATCATTTATTCTTTTTTTTTTCCTTTGCAGCTTCAGAGCCCAATTTGAAGGTACGTTCAAGGTTAAAACAAAAGGTGACAGAAAGAAGAAGCAGTCCTCTACTCAGGAGGAAGGATGGAAACGTCGGTTCATTCAAGAAGCGACTCTTTGAGGTGACAGGTAATTAAGAATTGAGAAATTCTGTATCAGCTGCAAGTGCTCATGGAACAGTAGTGGTATTTTGGAATTGAAACTGTTTGCTAAAGAAAAGGTTATATCTTTTTTTTCTGCTGAGAAAGAAAAAAATGAATGGTTGCATATGAATAACTTGCAATCTACAGCTTTCTACCATTTACTAAAAAGTATTGTACATTTGAAAACCATACTTTCAAACCAACTTGGAAAACAGGACCTTACAATAGCAAGTACGAGAACAAATAAATGGTAGATTGTTGGTAGCAAGGGACATCAAAGGAGAAAACAAGATTAGCCTCTTCCCTTAAATTGCATCTTCTGTACATGGACAACATTTTGGGTCTTGTGTCTGAGACTTCCCATCTCCCATGGAAACTCCAGATGCTAATAGCAGTCACAAAAATACTGTCTGCTGTTAGTTAATCAAGGATGTTTTGGAATCCTGTATTTGGCCCTATTTCTCTAGTTTCTCTTGTTTGAAAAATATCAAGTTTAGTTGGTTTCAGTATGAGGGCTCACTAAGTTTTTTGAGAAGAAAGAGTTGAAAAGTTTAAATATTCAATGACATATTGTTCATCATAGCAGATAGTAAGTATTCTTAGTAATTCAAAGGGAACTTTTAGCATGTAAGAATACAGAATATGCATATGGGTGTAATTAAAAGGGGGAATAAGGCAAAGTAAAAATCTGTCATCGAGTAATATTAATTTTTAGTATTTTTTCTTCCATTGAACTTAAAAAGTGACAAGGTGAGTGTACCATGGATGCTAAGGCTTTCTCTCACATATTTTATATTGAGTAATGGTAATTTTTTTCCACATATTTTTGCAGAATTTCCTAAACAGCTATAGTCCTCTCATTTTTAGTCCTTAGGATTAATATGCTGCCGAGCCTTACCTGTAGATTTGAAAGAAAAGAGCATTTACAGTGTTTGGTCTCATTCTGACATTTCTTGCTTTGACTCTGCATCTTTGGTAGCTTCATAGCTTGTTCAATTGGTGTTACAATCAGGCCATAAGTTTATGTAACCAAGTCTGTCAGACATGTATCTGAATTCGCTTGGCATATCAGAATTATGTCATTCACATCAGTGTCCGCATACATGCAGTTCTTGTGACAACTTTCCACAGTATGTCATGTGTAGAACTCCGACATGGATGTGAATGTAAGTGTGAAAGCAACTAAATAAGATAATTTCCCTATAAATTATTTCCAGATTAGCAATTTTTACAGCTAATTTATTATTTCAATTTGCTGAAACTCTTACAAGATTCTTATTTTCCACTTCCTCAGTTTTAGCTGATTTCTACATATTTTGTACACTCACAAAGTATAAAATGAAACACTTATCCCAAGAAGTTTATTCTGCAGCCATTGAAAGAGCAGACTCCTGAAAATAAATGTGTCCTCTTCCTAGCTCTGACATAATTCGAAGCCTTACAGATTGCTGTTATCTTTATTGTTACCAGCTATGTGACATTTTGCACCTTTCATAATCAAAATTTCCCTGATCAAACATTTCTGGTCAAAGCCTTTTCCTCCTTTCCTTTTCTTCTTTTTTTTTTATATTCCTTTAACTGAAAAAAAAGCCCTTTATTTAGATGCCTAACTGTACAGAAAGTGCTATTGTAAATTTTAAAACAGAGAAGAAAGAGTAAGTTTGTGTTTCTTCTATAAAAACTAGCAATAATATGACGCAAGAGTTTTAGCTGACAATTAGATTAGCTGCATAAGAATTCACTTCAGTAAATTGAAGTCACTTCTAGTAGGAAAGAGTAGCAGGTCCAAGAAACAGCTAGGAAATCTCCTGGTAATTTCAGACACATTGGGATTATATTTTTGCATATAAACTGAGGCAGAAAGAGTGAAGAAGCAAAGAAGTAGCTATAGAATATTTACAGCCACATTTAGATACTAATTATTTGAATTTCTTAAGTGCTTTAATTTGAAAGCTATTCCATTGAAATAGGTTTACTTCTACTAATGCTGTGCTTTTCCATCTTTAACCTTGTTAACTGTTTCCATTACATAAATTTAATTGGTATCAGAGTAGGATTACAGTGGCAACAACAGCATACAACAAAATTATCCTCTCCCCCTTTATCTCAGCCAGAACTCAGGAAATTTTAAATCAAGATAACATACAGCCTTTCAAATGCTATTTCAAGACTTTTGTATACTGTAACTATTCCTTCGTATTTGTGCCAAAGACGTAGTGAAAGTGGTATATATTTTGCCATTATTACTTGTGTATGTAACGATTAGTCCACAATGGCCGCATCCACTTTCTAAAAAGAAAGGGGATGGCAGTAGGCCTCATGAATTGATGATGTGTTATCATGACCTTTGCAAGCCTGCTATCTCTGTCATTGTGATCTCTTACAGAGGCAGGATTCTTTGCAATTAAAAGGAAAATCTGTTCTTTTTACTCATTACAAGTTCTATGCCTGTATCTCTGCCTGATACTGTGTCCCATCTTTGTGGGAAAAATAAATACTAAATTGTTCCTTTATGAATCAGACAGATCAGCAGGGGAAAGACCAAGAATATCTCTCTCTCTGTTAGCTCCGTAAAAGAAAAAACAAAATAAATGGAAAATGAATTAGAAATCTTTAATGTAAGTAAATAGATTCTTTTCAAGAGACAAAAAACTCCAAGCCTGTGCCATTAAAAGTATGTAATTAATCAAGTGTTCCTTTCCTAGTCTGAAATTCAGGTATGCTTAATCTGCTTTTCAGAATCCTCAGTCAGTAGCAGCTCCCCTGGATCAGGTCCTAGTTCCCCGAGCAATGGTCCCACCAGCAGTATAACAGAAAATGAAAACTCAGTTTTGCCATCTAACATTCAAGCTGAGGTAAGACTCTTTATTTGGTATAGATAATTTCTCAGGTTTCTAGACTGGAGAGATTTGAAACTTCACTTTGGTAGTGCTCACTAGCAGAGTAATTGCAGAAGTCATAATTATCAGGGATACCAGGACACTACAGGCTGACATCAGATTATGTTGTGTACAGGATACATCTTCATAAATGAGATGCGTGTTCAAGAGGCTGGCATATATGAGATGCATGTTCAGGAGGCTGGCATCTATGTGATGCATGTTCAGGATACCCTTCAGGAAGAAAATTGCAAATAAAGGCAGCAGCAGTGCTACTGGAAGAGGGAGAGTGAGCTGTGGAAGGAACTTGGAAGCATCTGTTGCCGAACATTATCTTTTCGGATAACCTGAAGAGGTGCACAGTGTTGAACACTGATGATGAACTTTCACATGCAAAAGGGTGATTTAGGCATTGGTGACCCTGACACATGCAAGTTAAGGTGATCCCAGGTTCAGATGGATTCTAAAGTAGATTTGCTTTATTACCGTATCGGAGTTAGGTGACTACATCCTTTTTCATATCTGCCTTTTATTTTACTGTACCTCAGTATCCTTATCAGGGCCAGTACTGACATGCCAGGAGTCTTGAATACTTTTTTCTTGTGAGGTTTGTACATGGAAGGAATCTGAACTACTCCATATTCTGTTTCCATACATATGTGCCTATCACAACAGCTACGCAGATGGTAAATCAATTGTGATAAACCTCATTTAGCATAGATGACATGCCTTAGTCATTGCTTTCCGTGGCAATATTGTAAAGGGACAGTAAACACAACTAAGAGAGAATCAAATTCCACAATATTCCGTATGCACATACTTACAGGAATTCCTGCTTTGGTGGAAAAGTTTTCTAGTAATTGTTGGTTTATACAATGTGTGTTAATAAAATTGCATTAGAAAATATGATTTAATAGAGTTTTAGCTAATGGAGCTGTTTCTCCAGGTCAGTGGCAGGACATCACCTCAAAAAAACCTGGAATGGGCAGTTCAACCTCCAGCAGTGACTTTTCCCCATAATGAATTAATTGTGTGTGTGAACTATGATCCAGGGGGCAGGTGGGTGACCTCTGCACACTGATTAGTAGCCTCTCTCTGGCCCGTAACCAAAAACGAAAAAAAATTGCATTGATGGCTAACATGTGGTCTTGCCTCTTAGCCCCCTGTATGTGATTGCAAAGAAATTTAAATGATGCAGAGTAAGATCCACCATTTGGATTAGATAGGATCTTAATTCAGTGGAGTTAAATGGTATATTTTAGTATTGGGAATGCTTTAGATAGAAATTTGCAATATGTGGGTGTTAGTACTCTATTAAACAGGAAATCTTGTCCAACTGGATTGTTTATTGACTTGAAGATACTACAAAATGCAAAGGGAATAACATCTCAGACTGATGTACGGTGCTTGTTAGTTTAAGTGTTACAGTTTCTGGACATTTTTCCACAGTTTGGAACCACCATCAGAAATGCATATAATCTGGTTAGGCTGGCAGTCTCTCTTTGGGGAGATTTGGAAAGGTTGTAGTAGCAACCATCAGCATTATATTGTGTTTATTAGTAGATCACTACATTGCATGTAATTTGCCATTACTGTGCCAGACAACAGAAGTTACAGTCCCACCATGCAATCACAGATACTCAACTGAGCCTAAAAGTTCCCTTAGAAGCTGAGCTCTACGTGCTGGCATTGGTCACTTAACTTGCTGGAAGTGTGCTAAGAAGCTGAAACTACAGAGTTCTATTTCTGAATCCAGTGGGGGATTTCTTTACCTCTCTGGTTACTTGACTTTTAATATTGTCATACTGTGGGCTGAAACATTTTTCCATAAATCTCAGCTTCAGTGCATTTTGATTTCAGTGGGATTTTCTTTGGTAGTTTAACAGCAGCCAAACTCCTGCATCTCTTTTCTAGTCTTAGCATTAGCTGCCAGCTCTCAAAGGCTATATATCTAATCAATGTTTCATCAGATGCACCAAGTATAGAAGTTTCTAATAATAGGATAAGTGTTCCTAAATCACCCAAAATATCATTTGGTTTGCTGTAATCCTGCATGACTCACTTTGCTGTTGTTTCATAATTGTTGTTGTGGCATTTGCAGTAAGTGTTGTGCTCATATCTGAGTGGGTGGATAGCTGTGGTTTTCATGGCACCAAATAAAACACTTTTTGCTGAGGGAAAACAGGTTGCTATGACAGAGGGCCATTTACCAGTAAAACATGAGTCAATACCATAAATGATTACGCTCTAGTGCATGGACAGAATTAGGGCATTATCAGTAATGAAACAGATTTTTAAAGTATTTTTGCCATATCCATTTCAATAGTGAGACTTTTAAGTGGTTTACCCTCCAGAGCAGACAGTCTGGTGGGCAGACATTTACATTTTTTTGAATGAACAAAGGTGAGCTGCAAATGCTACATTTTTGCAGATAATCTTTTACTATCACAGTTCCCTTAATGGTACTTTCAGTGCCATTTGTTAAAACACTGGTCTCATTATATGAAACTTGAAAGTTAAGCTTCAGATTTTAATTGCACCTTATAAATAAAATGCTGTTTTTGTTAGGCCCAGTTGTCTCCAGTATCTTCAAGGTTCACCACAGTAGCTATTTGTCTCTTGTAGCATGCCATACGCTTAGAGGTCACCTGCTGTGCTGGGGCTCAATCTTACGTGCATGAGAAATGCAAGCAGGATTGAGCCACTGCACAGCACATCCCTGGAGTTCAGAGGGACAGCTTGCCTTAGTCATGTAAAATGATTAATTTTAGCACTCATGGCCTGGTCAAAAGCCATTGGAGGCAATGGAAAGTTTCCAGTTGGTGTAAGTGGGCTTCAGATAATTTTTCTTTCAGTTGTGCTTTGGAGAGCAGCATTTCCTAGAATATCACCTGATTATACAGGAGATAAAACTGACATGCATGGCAGATAAACACATACTTGATTTGTGCAGCCCCACAGCACTATGTTTCTAATACTCAGCTCCTTGAAGTGATCTTTGCAAGTAGCCAGTGGAAAAAAATGTGTAGTTTTCTGACCAGCTGAGGTTTGCTTCATGTGCAAGTGAAGAGAATCTTATTAATTAAAGTAAAAACCCACAACACCCCAAAAGACTTAAGAGTGTAATTGTAAGCATTCAAAGCTATGACAACCTTACTGTAGCTCCATAATTGAGAAGTATCAAAGACATTTCCTCTTCCCCTTCTAATGTATAAATGTGCATATAAACATGCACACCTGACATAGGTGTTCCTGCTTCTCAGAAGGTCCCATATAGCACAACAGAGATACAATAGCTAATCATAATTACTTAATGATCATAATGCACTACTACGTTAAGTTATTGTACTGTATTTTAAGAAAAGGGTAACTGTTTACAGACTGTTTTAAGGGTCAGGAAGCAGGATCCACGTATGCAGTGAGTGAGCATATAGAGGAGCAAGTAGGTCGAGTTGCTCTTTGGGGTGATTTAGGTGCCAGTCTAAACAATCAAGTCTACATGTAGGATGAGGATCGTAGCTCAGCCATTGTGTTGCCAAATGACACTGCTGGCAACTGCACCTTTTGCCACCGTTTCAAGGTATTGCCAACTGTGTGAAAAGAGAAGCGGCTGTTGGGGTTAAGCAGCTCTGCCTGAGCATATGCAGGACCCTGATCTATGCAGGTGGGCTACCAGGCTTATTTTGAGAGATGAGTTTTAACTTATGCTTAGGCTAATATTACCTGAAAATGTTTTTTTAATAGTTACCAAAATGAAAATGACTGATTATTGGCAATATTAGAAATTGGTTTAAATGTTCTTACTAATAAACTCCTGTTTTCAACATTAAATTCCCATGATTCTGCCTGATTAAACAATTGTGCCTTACCTTAATGTGGGAATGTGTTTTCCTGCTATACACCCTGTCACTGTTACGTTTGTTAATTCAGATCTGAGAAGGTAATAGTGACATACTGAAAACCAAAAAGGAAACATGCACTGTGAAGTGGCTTTATATAGATACTGCAGTTGCTACAAATTTGATTATATTCTAGGAGGCATACGAGCTTCTGCAGTGTCCTTTTGCAGTTAAATCTTTATAGTCTCCTTCAGTAATATCTCCATAGTCTTGATGTGGTTTTATTCATGGTCAAAGGGAGATGTTATCAAGGCAAGATACTGTTAGCCAGGAATTAATGTAATATACAAGTGAAGCTTCTTTGTTTCGTGTGCTATCTGTTGACATTCCCTAGGTACCAAAAGAAAATTACAGAAATAGGCTTCTACTGTTATTGTCTCAGTGATAGGTCGTATCTCCAAACAAACTGTATGAGGAAGGTTATGTTTTGGAATAACATCCTGTGTTTTTGTGCTTAACCACTTTTCATTGATGGTCTGAAGTTGCATTGTATTAGCACAGAGTATTTTACAGAGTTAATTGATATTGCAGGTTTGTCCAGGGGAAAATCTACAGCTCCCCACAACATGCTTGACAAGTTATTATATTTACTTTAGTCAAAGCCCGAGTGTGCAGTATCCCTCTTGGAGGTGGTCTATTATTGGAGTCCCATATGCTTTTTGTTTGGGAAGAAAGCAGTCACTGTGTCATACTGTTACACAGGGTATTCTTTTTCAAGGATGTTGTTCCCTTGGGGACCATATCATGCCAGAGTTCCTAAGTCTAATAAGACCTTTGTAGCTCTTATTGTGTTAAAGTTCTGGGAGGGAAGCAAGAGTTAAACAGAAAATGTAATTCAAGCAACTGTACTAGACCACATGTTGAAAAACATGACTGTTCAAGCAGAAAGGCAAAGGCTTCAAAAAGATTCCTGTTGTGGTAATGTAACTTTTTATGTTTCTTCCCAATGAATATAGAATGGAAAGACAGAGGGTGATCTTTGTAGAATGTCTGGTTTTACTTGACAGTAATTAAAACTACATCAGCAATTCCATGTCCTTGAAAATTAAATCACAAGGCTTCAAAAGAAGTGTTAAAGATTTTAATTTGGAGGGAATTAGGAAGGCTATGAGGGGTATCCCACCATCGGAGAATGGTAGGATGCTGGTTTTGTATGCATGCATAGAGAAAGAGGAGACAGTACATTTTTTAAATGGTAGATGTAGCAATCTGCCTCACTTTCTACCCCAAATTCCCATGTCAATGGATGTAAATATTGTGCCTGAAATTTCCCCGTATAGTAGTCTGGGTAAGAAAATACATGGATTAGGTAGAAACATTTCATACCTTACAACAAAATTTATAATGACCACAGTAAAGTACAGTTATAGTCCATGCACGTATGTGACACCTTTCATTCTGCTAGATATGCTCCTTAATTCCTTGGCTAAATTCCCGCTGAGTTTTTAGTAGTGAAAGTGCAGGTGATGAGAAGAGCCTCTGTTTTGCTGATGAGATGCTGATGAGAATAGAAGGTCTAGGAATCTCCAAGATTTCATTTGTTGCATGGATACTTGATTTACTAACCAAGGAATAATCCATGACTGTATCAGTTGCTTTCTTAAGAAAAGAAATATCAACAGCCTTTTCACAGGGATACTTTTCCTTATCTGGCACCCCATTGAGATGCAAACCAACGCATGATACATAACTGGCTTTCAATGTAGCAGAATAACAAGGATGAAATAACCAAGATAAAAAAAGTTGAAGATGATACTTCAGTTGTTTTTTCCACTTTATTCCAGCATCTGGTTTCACAGCAACGGCTTTTTATACAGGATGAATCAGTGAACTTGCTGAGTTTGTACACATCCCCTTCTTTGCCCAACATTACCTTGGGACTTCCAGCAGTGCAACCTCAAATCAGTGTAAGTGACCAGCCTCAAGCCTTGTGTCCATTTTTGCTTCCAGAAAACCTGCTTTCTTACTATTCTCTTTTTTTTTTTTTTTTTTATTTTAGCATTTTGGAACGTAAGCAATTCACAGTAGGAACCAAACTTCTCTTTGCATTGCACAATGTCTGAACATTTATGGGCACATCTTGAAAGAAGTAACTATTCTTAATCGTAAATAAGTGCCAGTGAGGAGCTTATCTAAGTACAGGCCACATGCGTTGCATTTATGGCTGCAAATCAGATAACGGATTTCAGACATGGTGAGAAGTATATGAGGAGATCATTTACTGTAAAAGTTCAAATTATATGATCGCTCCTACCTGCTAGAGTACAGCACCTGTAACTTTTTATGAGATTCCAGTAGCAATCTCATGTGGAATGGAGCATAGTAGGGGAGGAATCTAATATTCCTTCAGCTAGGTTTGTTTTTTGAGTTGTGTGCCATCAATCAGATAGATAAAGTCAGTGATATGTGAACGACAGTATTTTAATAACAAGTTCTATTCATGTGCCCTTGTTCAGTCTGCAGCAATTTAATGTGATGTGTATGAAAACACAGACATGGTATGCATGGATATCCATGCTGATGGATAAGGATCTTTAGATCTAGACCATGTTACAGTAAACTATACGTGAAATCTGAGGCACAGAGGAATATCTGAAAATTTTTGCCTCTGGTTAAAACTTCCATTTTCTGATTTCTAGCAAAAATGCTAAAGTATTATAGAAGTCATGTGGTTGTTTGTGCAATGGAGTATAAATTCTGAAGAAAGTTTTGCTGGTTAAATTTTGTAGAAAGTAAATTGGTAACTTCTATAAAAATACAAGGGCTGTAAGTACAGCTTTCCATGGTGCAAAAAAAAATTAAATCTATACAGTCCACTGTGGTTTATAGCAAGTGCTACTTAATTTCTGTGCTGAACGTAGTTTCAAGTTAAAGTTTCATGTTATTTTATGGCTTTTTCAGTACATTACTGTTCTCACCAGTAATATATTGCTGCAGTCCCATATTTTAACATCAGATATAGAACTTTGCAAAGAAAGTTGCGTAAGCTTTAAATCAGTTCTGTAGAAGCCTTTCGTAAGATTTTTATAAGCGAATTATTGTTTTTATGGGATAGAAAAACTGAACTGACCATGAAAAGTAGTGCTTACTTTTCCAGACGATATCATCAAAAATTTCTTAGCTATTTCACAAAAAGTATAACTAGCTTCAAAGTAATTTTATGACATTAAAATTGAAATGAAAATATGTTTAATTTGCTTACTCAAATCATATGAGCTTTTGATGTGGCCAGCTAGCACCAAATATTACTTTTGGCATTAGGAAAAACAAAACAGCTGATTTATGCAAGTAATGTTTATTTCTGTTACCAGAATAAGCAGTCGCAAATTGAATGTAAAGTTTACTTTGGTGTTTGTTTTTCAGGGAAGGGTGATAGCAGAGTGTGAAGTAAGCATGCACCCAAAAAATATTAGTGAAAAGCTTGGTTTCCTTTATTAGAATCTGTGGAATTTAGATTGTCAGAGATACTGGTTTTACCATAACATACCATAGGCCGCTATCTGCAGCCCACAACATGCTTATATCTGTTAGGTTATTATTCTTGCTGTAAAAATTATTGTTCTGCTTTAGCTGCTTTTTTTAAGATTTATTTTTTTAACTAGACAAAGAACAAAGAAATGTAAAGTACATTTGCAATGCTGAAGGGCCAAAACTTCCAAAAGCTTTAAAACCAATAACTATGCAATTTATAAGGGCACTTCAAAATGCCACACACATGCAACAGCTCTTGATGGTTCTGTAGATGAGAGTTTAACTCTACAAATTTACTTTGCAAAGGGTAAAACTTATATTTGTGCTGTCCTTCAGGGAGTCAGGGAGTGCTCCAGGAAAAGTAATAGCTTCCCACTACTACAGGTAATTATTTTGTTTTACTAATTGGCTTGCTGTCTGATGGAAAGTTATGTGAAAAAACAAGCTTTGCCTCATCCAAACTCAATGGAAACTATTTCCTCTGATTCCCTATTTTCCTGTGCAGGAGGCTGTGGGAAGGTCTTGAGGAATTTTAAGGATAGGTCCTGTTTTTTCATTAATAATGTTCTAACTAGTAGTACCTTATGCTTTGGCTTTTACTACTGATTTTTTCCAAGTGGTTTCATTGCCCAGTTTCTCAGTGTTGCATTTAACTTGCATGTTCTTCCTCCCTTTTCATCTCACAGTCACAGTGTAAGATAGGGATGTTAACCTTTTCCTCTGTATGTGTTCATAAAGTATGACATAAGACCATCTAATCAAGCAGAGATAAACATGGCCAGGTCTATGAATAGCAGTTACCAGTGCCCTTGTTCTTTGACAGGCTTCATCATCATTCAAAGAAAAGCAGAAGGGGGAGACCCAGTCGCTCAGACAAGGAGTGGCCTTGGCTGGACAGTATGTGGGAAGCGTTCCTCCATCCTCAACTCATCCTCACGTTGCTTTGGAGGGAAAGCCAAATAGCAGCCACCAGGCTCTCTTGCAGCATCTGTTACTGAAAGAACAAATGAGACAGCAAAAACTTCTTGTGACTGGTAATGATCAAGGTTTCAACACAATAATAATCTAAGATGTTTTTAATGGCATTTGTATTCACATTAGATGTGATAATATAGATATTATACATCCTAACCATTGGGAAAACTGGAAGGGTGGGATTAAAAAGGGCAACCTCTTTGCTTTCCCCCATAGTGATTCTGCTGCAGTCTGTTAGCCTGAAAGAATTCAGTGATCACAGGAAAAAGAAAATGATTACTTCATCACATTCTTTTGTAGCTGCTGAACTTCCCAGCATGGTGAGGCACGTGGTACACATCCCACTGCATCAGTGCTGATGCTAAGTTCTGCAATATACACCCCTCTTCTCACTGAAAGCTCTCTCCTATTAGAACTATGTTGTTTTTCATATTGGAGTGAAATGTCCCTGTTTTGCAGGAGCGGTTCCTCTTCATCCACAGTCTCCTTTAGCAGCAAAGGAGAGAGTCTCACCTGGCATACGAGCTGCCCACAGACTGCCTCGTCACAGGCCACTGAATCGAACCCAGTCAGCCCCTCTTCCTCAGAGTACTTTGGCCCAGCTGGTTATCCAGCAGCAGCATCAACAATTTTTGGAGAAGCAGAAACAGTACCAGCAGCAGATCCACATGAATAAGGTGAGTCCCCAAAGTAAGGAATTTCCAGTGAATGTAAAGGTTGAAAACTTATAAGGGAGTTTAGGTATTGGTGCCATGTGGTCATGGACAGTAGACAGGTTCTTGCACGGTTATCTTGTTTATGAACAATTGGTATATACATTTGTATAGTTCTTCATTTTCAACTTCTGAAATATGCTACAAAGGTAATTTTCATTCTTGATGTCAGCAAGAAAACAATTCAACAAAATAGTGTTCAGAGCATCTTACAGGTTTAAATTACAGGTGGTTTCATGTTGAATGGTAAGTGATGCCTTAAGGATTACTAAATTTCTATCCAACTTTTTTATGCGCACTTTTGAGTTTCAGCAATTTTTCCTTTCAGCTGCCTTTGAATTGTATTTTAAGCTTCCTCATTGTGGACTACTGTGTGCAGTAAGTATATAACTCATCTAAACACAACCAGCTGATTAAATTTATCTTTTTTATCAGCTTTTATCAAACCAACTTTTTCTCTGTAAGTCAGAGAAAGTTCGTTATCTATATGGTGCTATAAATTTCCCATATAAGGGAGAAGAGAAGAATGTGCTATTGTTAACATCTGATACAGAGTTAACTTGTGCCCCTCTTTCCGTGCAGGCTAACACCTTATTATGGGGAGGGAGGGGGGAGAATAAAAGGGACCATGCATTAATAAACAAAGAGCAGCAGAATCTAAATAGCTTTATGAGAAGCTAATGCTTCTACAACAAATATGATGCTGTTCCCTGCTCTAAAATGAAGATACACAACTAATTAAATGTTTTCATCTAGAGAATGTTTTTCTGAACTTACTCCATAGATTTTCAAAAGTTATTTGCTGGAGCTCCACTAGTAATTCAGAGATATTAATCATTCATCTTCAGTTGTCTTCTTTTATTTGAGGGTTACATAATAACTATATATAAGAGGCAGTGGCAAAGAAGAAAAGATTAAAAGCAGCGTTCATCCCTAGTACCTAAGAAAAAAGAAAGAAAAAAAAGTCAATCCACCTTACTGGGTGAACTTCCCAGGGGGTACTGATTCTTTGGAATCTAGTAAGAGTTCCCAACAAAATGAGAAACAAACCTAGAGTTTAAGTACATAGTTTGTACAGTGGTTTGGTTATTAAATCTTGTCTTAATTAGGAAAAATGAAGACCAGAAAACTTCAAAGTTCAGAGCTGATCCTTGCATGTTAACCCCTCTCAGCTTGGGTGTTTTGATTACTCAACTAGGACTCCAGTTGGCTTTTCTTTGAGTATGCATTCCATATGTTTAATCAAGATGGCATATGTATATCTCATAGCCTCAGGTTTTGAAAATATTTCACCTGCCCTCAATTGTCTGAAGAGAAAAGAATTTTTACCAGTAAAGTAAATCCCAGTCTTTGTGCTGTTTTTGTGTATTTGCTACAAACCAATCAGTTCATGCATTCCTCACAAAGCAAAGAACCCCACTGACATGTTTTTGCTAGATAATATGCTTTTTTGACACAAATTCTACTAAAGCATTTGGAGATATTTGCTTTGCCATATAGGTACATTTGCCCTGAATCTCAAAATTAAACTTGAGTCATATAAACGTATTCCTAGTCACACAGGACTAGGAATGCATTGTGCCTCACAAGAGATAGCCTGGCCAAGGAAGTACAAAGGCTGCAGTTGGTTTGGGATAATGCTTGTTTCAGTGATTTTTTTTCCCCCTCAGTTAAAGTGTAATGAAAATGTATGTTAAGAAGCATAACTCCCTCTCATACTTGAAATACTCTTTCAGTTTCACATGGTTATATGTAATAAAGAGATAAAACAATTCCTTCTTGTAAAACGTAGTGAACAAATTTTTATTCTCTACAGTATAGGCTATACACATATGCAGATAATAGAAATTTAAATTTATCCTTAGTAGCTTCTCAGTCTCCTTTATGCCTACTCCCAGAGCAGCTAGCCTTCATGAGGAGCGCAGCAACTCATCAGAGCAGCAAACACCTAAAGAGGAGTAGGATCATGGTGCAGCCACAGAAGCGGTGGGTTATCAGAGGATGAGGGTGATTTATCAGACTTTACAGTTTGCAGCATTTAGTTTCTTCTACAGCACCTTTCTCAGAAGAACCGTTCTGATGAATAGCACTGAAAAATTACAGTGCTGTAATTATGTATCTGTCCTCTGCAAGTATACAGAAAGCCAGGGGGCTTTATTACAAACTTAAAAAGGAAACCTGATTTTTAAAACCTGGAATTTAAGGGTAGCCCATAGATGAGAGAGTGAGAAAAGATCAAATCATGGAGTAGATTTTAAGTACTAAATTTAAAAGTATATTCTTTAACTCTTTAACTTAAAAGTTCAGATCAAACACCTGTGCCTACATAAGGTTTATGAAGTCCTCCAGCATGGTGGAATATACCTTGTTCTATCTTAAAACTAGCCTCTATTCACAGTTGAAGTTATTTGTTCATCATATAATTTGCATGGCTTTACAATCGAACTTAACTCTGCAAAGCAGAGTTACTTGAACCTTAAAACAGTAGATATTCTAGACCATGTAGCAAAGCAACCCGGTGTCTTCTCATTTCTTAGGACAAGTTTGGGCATGTATCAAGTAAATACGTACACTTGCATTTTCTTTTAGTCTGTCTCCTAACCTTCTGTTATTAGGCTGTATAATGAAATCTGCACAGAGGTGTAATTCCCTCCTTTTCAATCATGAAAAATATAGGTGGGGTTTTTTTTAATAAGGTATACTCAAATATTCTCTTAAAAGTTTTTTGTGTGAAATACCACAACCATTTTAAGCTGACAACACTATGAAATGCCAGTTGATCAAGAGCTTAGAACAAGTTAGCATCTTTTTTTTCTTTCCAATTTCTCTTTCCTTTTTTCCTTATGTTTAGGACTTCGAATAATTAAGAATTTAATATAGTTCAGATGAACCCACTATTTGAATGTTTGCCCTGAAATAAGATTATACAGCATGCACCAGCACTCCCTGAAAAGTGTTCTTGGTCAGAGCATTTGGGCAGATGTATAGGTGTATCTTTCTGTAACAAAAAAAAGAGGAAGAGACCAAGTTTCTCTCCACCCCATTGGTCTTGTATTTCTCTTGTATTAAAAAAAAAACATTTATTTTCTTTAAGAAAATAATACATTTCGGCAGCAAGACAGTGCTGCTGTGAGGGTGATAACGAGCAAAATCTAACATAGGTCAGAGGTAAAGAATTCCCCTGGATTATTTCCATTCTGAAAAGAAGCAAATCATTTTCAAGAGATGTGCCTCTGTCCTTAATAACAAAGAAAAGATCCCCTATGGATTATTTCTGGTCAGCTGTCAGATGCCAGGCTTTTGATGTGGGAAACGGTATACCTCTCCACTGAAGTCTGGCATTTATACCTGCGGGATCTAGTATGCTGACCTTCTGAAAACATTCTGCAAATGTTCACATCCCATCCAAAAGTGGGTGGAAGCCCTCATTCCAGCTTTCTGGGGAAAAAATATTAATGAATGTGAAGTAACCTGAACTTCTCTTGTCTGAACGAAGATCGGCTTTGCCGTTGTCAGCTTTAATATACTTCTGTCCAAATGACAGCTTATTTCCTTATAAGGCCCTTTGATCACCATTGCAGATCTTCGTTTTACTCAATAAAGGGAGTCCGAAGTCTAAACCCTCTGGTTAAAATTATTGCAGTCAGGTAGCAAAAGACCACTACTACAATAAAAACCTTAAATTCTTGATGTTATTTTTGTATCTTTGTATCTAGAAACCCTTGACCCTTCCACTTGCAGAAAAAAAAGGGTAATTTTGATGTAAATAATATAAGTGCAAAGCCTGTAGCATATGTCTGTATTCAAGAAAATCTCAGAAATCATAATGTGAAAAGTGAACAAACCCCTCTGTCTTTTAAGGTCATTTTTTGTAACGTATGATGGATAAAATCCTGCCTCCACTGAAGCTAAAGTAGCACTGTCTTCACTCAACCAAGATTTTATTTGCTCAGTGTAGGAACCCTACATATGTTCTTAAAATAATCTATTCATAGCATTTTGACAATTTGTTTTTAATGGTAAAATCCTCCTCTGTATTGAAGTAGTAAAGGTTAAAATAATGCGGCAGTTGGTAGGATGCACTAAATTATGGGAACAGTATAGATAATATTAGAGCTTACATAAGGAGTACCTGAATTACAGTTTTCATTTCAGGCTGTCAGTTGGTTTAAAGCACATTTATAAATACATAAAAATATCTAGGAAGTGAAAATTTGTTAGTGCTTTGCATGGTGATCATAATTGACAAATATCTGCTAATAAAAAATGAAAAATAATATCTAAGGTTCTGTTGATGTACTGATGGAAAAAATAAGATTATTTGTTGTCAATAATAATATTGAAAAGATACAGTTAACGCCAGATTAATAATTCGCTCCTCTGAATAATACTTAATGAAATACAGATGACTGGATCAGATTCAGCTGGAGAAAATTAATATAGCTTCATTAAACATGTTACAACTGAGGTTTTAGTTTTCCAGCTTACACATCTGACTAGCACCTTCTGAAGGTGAGAGGTAGCACAGCTCTCCAAATACTGCTATCAGGCAGGCAATTATTTGGACAAAACTACAGCAACAGCTGACTGTGGAACTGAAAAATGCCCAAAGCCTTTTCTCCTTTGCTGAGAACTATTGTTTAAGCCATTAGGCAGAAGAATTATTTTGAAAGATACATTCCTTAGAAACATTGTACTACATGAGTAACAGAGACAACAGTAAGCAGATGCCAGGTTGTTTCAGTACAACTAGTGTACATCATTGGTCAAAGTAATATGAGATAGTCATAGGAGAGAAGGAGAAAAAGTGTTTCGTATGTATGTACAGGAGTTTGTAGAAATAGCCACCATGTATTTAAAATGAAGAATTAATTGAAGAAAGAAATGTAGGGGTTGTTGTTGCGGGATTTTGTGCTATGTGTCTTTGTAAAGATGTTTTATTTAAAATACTGTATTTTACAAGAGCTTATCATTACAAAGGAGAAACGAAGGCAGGGGCTGTAACTGAAGGATCTATATAATGATTTGTTGCAATCTCCAGGCTATTTAGTCTTCCACTTTTCTGTACAAGCAAACAGGTTAGATTGTGTTTGATTGGACTCTTGTAGTTATACAGTGGAACTGACGTCTGTAAGTGCTTCCTCTCCTGCTGCCACTATTTTCTTTGGCTCATGCATGTCCCTAACAGTTTAATTTCCTGAAAATAGAAGAAAATAAAATATATAGGTTACATTAGCATGAAGCCATTTTTCTGAGTGACTCCTTTAGTTGGAATAGCGAAAACAATGAAGTGTACTGGTTAAAGAGACCAGTCTGTACAGCTCTAAGTTATTAGTGAAAAAAAAGTAGGGGTTTTAAATGTAGCCTTAGTAAAATTCAGGTTAATCAATCATTTTTCCAAAATGAAAAATATGCATTAACATAAGGAGAATCCAGCATGTACCTACAGATAAATTCAGAGAAAAAGTGGTAAGTGGGGATTTAAAGATTTAAGCATTAAGTGTAAGCAGAAGTATCCAGCAGTGAAAGGACCTGAGCAGTGTTTCATATAAGACTCATTTTCTGCTATGGAATCCAGCTTTAGCTAGAGAGGTAAGATAGAAATACTGACTCTAAACTCCAAATATGTAATTTTCCACACTACTACTAGGAGATATAATATAAAATCAGATATTTCTGACTCAGAAGAACTGACCAATCTCTTGGTAATGCTACTGATGTAATTACTGGAATAAGATGGGGCCAAGCTGCCTTTAAAAAACAGTTTAACAAATAGGAAAGCATGGTTGATAGTGATACAGGGAAGGCATTCAGCTGTGGCTTAGCAGACTGAGCAGCAGCAGTGGTTTTCAGGTTTGGGGTCTGTCCCTCCCACCATGCCATCCACTTGTTTTTATCATTCTCCATCATAGGAGAGGACAGGACATAAAAGTGAAAAAGCATAAAAGAAAGGAGAGCAGTAATGAGCTAAATATGTGTCTTAACTTTTCTAGTAAGTAATGGTAAAAATTGGGGGTTATTTTTCTCTTCTCAGTATATTTGACCTTGGAGATACAAATCAGTATTTGCTTGAAATCAAGTGGTCAGTTGAATAAATGGTAATTACTCACTTGACCCCACAGATGCTTGCTCACATCTCTAATTTGTATCTCTTTCAATAGAGTGGGGATTTTTTCAGTTTGTGTTTTGAGGACTACATCTGGACTGGTTTGGAATGTATTTGCTGCATCTTAAATAGTAAAACATAATCTGTACTTGATTGCAACACTCATATCTGGCACCTCAGCAGAGCTTTACAATAGATGTTAGTGGTGTAAAACCAGTATTGTCTGGGTAGCTATGTGGTATCATTTTGCTTAAACTAAGATACCTGTACCATGCATGACAAAAGCTGTAGTCTCTCCAGTCATAGACAGATCTGTATGTGATATCTTTGTGCCACAGGAGAAGGACTGGCACCAGCTCTTTGTCACCGCTCCTTTGTTGCCTTTCAGTGCCACCTTGCTTTGATGGATAGAGATGCTTATGTGAACATTTTGTAATTTTCTTATAACAAAATATTAACCATATCACTATTTTTTTTTTAGGACTTAGGAGTTCCGTTATTATTTTGTGTTGTAGAAATTAACGGTAATATAGTTATGTAAAGTTCTACATTTATGTTCAAGTATGAAAGGAGCCCAATTTCTCTTTATTACCAGCTGTAACAGTGTAACAGATGTGTATTGTTTTCATTCTTCTGCCTTATTTTTAGTTTAGTGTTTCCATATAGCACTCTCTACATACATGGTATTTTCTACTGAAGAGTAACAAATGACTTTTGCTTAAGAACTTTGGTTCTGTTTTGACCTGCACATTAGTATTTTAGCAATTCATGGCTACATGGGCTTGCTGTGGATTCAATTTTGTCAGTGCAAATCTAGCATTTCTTTGTGTTTGGCATCAGTGAAAGGAGTCGGTAACTGTTCCCCCATTCTTTTTCCAGATGCTGTCTAAGTCCATTGAGCAGCTGAAGCAGCCTGGCAGTCACCTGGAGGAAGCTGAAGAAGAGCTTCATGGAGATCACTTGATGCAGGAAGAGCGAGCTCCTGCCAGCGGGGCCAGCATTAGGGCTGAGAGCAGCAGTGCTGGTGTGGATAACAGAATAGGACAGCAGGTGGGGGCTGTGAAAGTCAAAGAGGAGCCACCGGACAGTGATGAGGATGTTCAGACCCAGCAAATGGAATCTGGGGAGCAAGCTGCTTTTATGCAACAGGTAATAGGCAAAGATTTAGCTCCAGGATTTGTAATTAAAGTTATTATCTGAGCATCACATGCATTTTCTAGGCTTTGGTAAGCAGTTGTGTTTTGATTCACTGATCTAGCAAATCCTGATTTACTTTCAAAGAATCTAACAAAGGCAGAAGTGTTGTATGCACACTTGAAAACATAGTGAATCTCATCCTTATGGCCACTAATTGAGAAAATACCTGTTGCAGTCACTTTATATAAATCTTTGCATAATAGGTGATAGACTTTGTATTAGCCCAGCCTTTGTATTACATTACATTGCTTATTTCTAGTGAAAGAGAACTCGTATCACCTAGCTTGTTGAGATCAGCAATTGCTGGAATTAGTTTCCAGTCCTGATTAATGAAACATTCTCCTTCTCTGATTTTGAATCCTCTGACTTTTGCTTTCAGCTGTCTGTATATACTGTATCATACTGTAGTCTTGAACACTGTTAACCTTAGGGTACTTTTTCTTCAGTAGACATGTATTGACTGCTATATCAGTGGTCCCAGGCTGGTGTATAAAGTTTAAATTAGAGAAAAGATGGATGCAATTTACAAGGTGGATGTAGAGGCAGGCAAGGCACTGTTTAAAATTGCATTGTTTTCTTTCTTTGCACTGCTTAGTTAATTTTTCATTCTGTCTTATTTGATGATGCCATCCACAGAGACAATTTTAAATGCAGCAGATGCAAGTACTGGCGAGAAGCAAAAGGCAGCATTAGGTTGCAGTTATTAGGATATTGCAGGGAAAGCACAGAATTGTTATCGTTATCAACTGATACCTATCGCTTGTTTGTTATTTTAAATAAAGACTAATCATACAATATGGCATAACCTTTACTGCTAGGTCTCGGGGACAAATACAAAAATAACAACTGTCCATAAAATGCCAACTCGGCAAAAGGAGACTTCAGCTTGTTGGCGAGCTGGAAGGCGCAGTGTATGTGTGCAGCCAGCGTGCTGGCATCCCTTTCCATTGCCATCCGCTCAGGCAGGGCTAGGGTGAATGCAGTGGAAGGCCCTGTTTGTTTAAGTCGATACTTTGTCAGGTCCCGCTGTTCTGCAAAAAAAGTGATTTTGGGGGGGGGGGGGCAGGAAATGCCTTATGGAAACAGGAAGCCCAAGTGATTCATGTGCTGAGGAATGCGGGGCGGGGGGGGACAGGGCAGTGCTCCCTCTGTTTTTAAAGGCACTCTATGAATTGATTTATTGTCAAAGAAAATAACAAAGCGAGTAGGGAAATTGTTAAGGAAGCTTTCCAGTGAAACATTTCCTTCATATTCCCTTTTGATATGTTTACCTTGTTTTATAGGTTTACTTTTGTTAAGCTAGTTAAAGATTCGTTGTATTAAGATCCCCTTTAATATGGGTAATCCCAAACTGACCTGGAATCCTTGTCAGGGTTTTTTTTTCTATTGAAAATATTTATATTTCTAAAGCTGAGGTATTTTAAGGTGCAGTATCCTGTTTCAAGAAAGATAGCTGTTTTGCCAAATGTAGAAATTGTTCTAAAATATATTATTAGCATGTGTTGTTTACATTATGCTGTAATACTATTAAATCACTTATAAAATGTTGCAGCTTCTGAAGATACATTATCCTTTTTCCTAGAAGGTCTCCAAACAAATGTCTGAATAGTTGCTGTTAATATGAAAGGCTTCCTTAGATAGAAGAGATTTATTGATTGAGAAAAAAAACAGGTGATATTTATGTGTGCTTCATATTTGAAAAGAAGCCTTTCTTCATCTTGGATGAAAAAAATCACATACACATTCAAAAGGTAATGGAGGAGTAAAATTAAATGGTTTTCCCATTCTGTAAAATTTTAATTTTCTTTGAAATCTGACTAACTTCAGCCTCATCAAAATGGGATAGTGCATCTTTTAAAATACATTTTATTTGGGGAGAAACTTGCAAATGAGAAGAGTTTTGTACAGTATCACTTCAAAGACATATATTCACAAAAGACGAGATATTTTTATAGTGTCATTCTGGTGAGAAACCCCAATACATTAGTGGACTTTAATTTCAGAATCTTTCAAATTTGGATAAAATTTAAAACCTGGAACCAGTGAAAAGGAAAACTGGGTTTAAACAACCACATTTCTAATTGATTATTGTCTCTTACATTTTAAATCTACTGTATTTATTATAATTTACACCCTTAGAGGTGATCTCTTGTTTTGTGTTGTAAATATATTCTGTTTGTATGTTCCCTTTTTTTGCCTTCTGATATAAGTCTCTTCCTTTCTCAAATAAAGGTTTTTTTTTTAAAAGATCACCTTTCAGATATCTGACTTTGTGTAAATTTGATAACTTAGTTGTGCTTTTGCTTCATATAACCAAATACGTTCGCCACACAGTGTTGAAACAATTCAAGCTTTCAGGAGCAAGGTTTTAATTACACTATTCTTACAATAATTACACAAAGTCTTTTTTTTTGGTCTCTTGTTTTATCCTGCATCAGCCATCATAAGTTTTAGTGAATGTGGAGCAGTATTGATGCATGTTCATTTTCCCATCGTGGCATCTGTCTTGAACATGTGATCATATATCACCATACAGGAAAGGTAAAGGTGAATCCCAATTTCTTAGCTCGTAATTATCTAAAATTTAGATGAACTGAAATAATTTTCCTTATTTTTCCAACTTGCCTAGAGCCCAAAACATGCTGAGCTGAGCTGAGCGTCTACTGATCTCTGATATTCCTCAAGACCTTTGCAAAACTAGAGTCCGCATGTAAATATGCTGGGGAGGAGGAAATCCTCAAACTTTGCAGATGTTAAAGCAACTGCACGAGGCAGTGAAGTCCTACTTTAGAATACCACCTTTAAAGTCCACCTTTAGAGTAACACCTAGCCCTTCCATGAAGATGTTAAATGCTTTGTGACATGTCCTGAGCTTTGCTTCAGATCTAGAGAGAGTTTATCCCATTAGCAGCATGTCCCTATTGTTACTGTACATGAATTGTTCCTACCAAGAGTTCAGAAAATTGTTACATTCTAGCTCTTCTAACAGTTCATTTAACTTGCAAAGGCTCTTAACAGCTCTGATTCTGGTACAAATAGTACTAAAATAAAATGGTTTCAGCAACATAAATATGTAAGAATAAATATTTCTGTAAATCAAATGTGATAATTTTCACTAATATAGCAGCAAACTAATGTTTCGTCAGTAATACACCCCCAAAAATAGGTAAAAAGTCAAGTTTTAGCTTAGGAAAGATTAAAGCTAGCATTAACAGAATAAACAATAGGGCAAGCAGTGCAATAATGATATAATGTATTTAGAACCTTGTGTCTATAAGTAAATCATGCTTTCAACAGGGATTTTATTGAGATGCCTTTTGTTTAAATACTTACGTTGGAATTAGAAGAATGTTTTCAATTTACATTCCTGGTTTGGAGGCTATACCTAGATTTTATTTTTTTTTTTAATTATTTGTTTACTATGCATCATACCACCCATAATGAAGAAAATAAATAATCATAGTTGAATACAATTCACAAGTCTTACCTTCTTCCAGTTTATTCTGTCCTGTTGTCCAAAAAATAATGCCAGTGTAGCTGCTAATTTAGAATTACTACTAAGCGAGGGAAAATGCTTCATAATATTTACGTACTCAAGACAGACACATTACTCAAATGTAGGTACTGTAACATTAGCCTTTTTTTCATTTTCTGGCATTAATGAAATAGGATTAAAAGCCAGTTCCTTCAGGAAAGCAGGAGCACTCCAGACACTACCACCACTCATCTTTCCTATTCAGAAAATCATTTGTGCACTGTCTTCGTTCCATCTTCATTATCATCAGGATCCCTAAGACTTAATCCATGTTACTTAAGCCACTATACCCCGTTTTTATCTTCACTGGCATTCTGAGGTAAAAATCTATAAACGTTAATCCCAAACACCAACCTAAAAATGTTTACTTATTTCTCTCCCTATGAACACTTCACAATTTGCAGCCAAAATTAGCTAAGCCAAGTTAATTTCCTTATTGTACTCTGTCCCACTAGCAGCATGTACTACTTATCCACTTAAGAAATGTTTGTTTGCTTTTCATTTATTTGTTTAGTTTCTGATTTCCTTATGCAGTTCCCATTATCTGGGTGGTAGCGGGGCTTCTGTTACCTCATTGCTCAGTGGAGGAATATAGTTTTAGAATGTTGAATGCTGAATTGCTGTTTGGGCAAAGAGAAGATGAGCATCCTGGATAAATTATCATCTCTGCACTACAGCAGTAATCCCAGTGATTTTTGTAGAATTTTACCACTGTAATTGGTAGACACCATACTTTGCATTTGGTAGGCTTAGTGCTTTGCTTTTGTTCTTTGGGTTTTTTTCCTCTTCTCTTTCAGCCTAATTTGGAATTCGATTTAAAAGCCAAAAATACAGTTAGCTCACACAGCCAGTGGAAAACATGGGTTTCTTGGCCATGCTTACTCACTCACACATACAAACAGGACTGAGAAGGGGCATCCTTTGGCCTTGAATGGCCTTGGTCCCCATTTACGGAGCCCAAGTGTCACACTCCTTTTGCTTATTTTTATTCCAGACCCATAACCCATCTATCCCATAGAGGCCAACTTCTACCTGTGGACACGCACAGCTGTTAGAGACCCCATGGGTTATTTCATCAGTATCTGAGAGTTAAAAGCATACCAGCTTAGTAACTTGAAATCATTCAGGAGTGTCTAAGTCTCTATGGTGACTGCACAGGTGCCTTAGTCACTAGAGTTGTTTTGACAGATCAGATAACTTATAAGTGATCTAGTGCCTTAAATAGCTGACTAAATGAGATGGTTTGAATCTGGCTGTGAAGCCTTTGTTGCATTTGTATTACTTTACTTTCCATAGTTGCCTTGAATTAACTTAAATATAAGGGAGGTTTGTTGGAGGATATGCTGTTAAAAGAACCCTTCTGCACATTTGGTCTTTCCAAGCTGGTAGCATGTTACAACATTTTTGGTCTTGAGAA